TGCCGTTAGTATCATACGTATTCTCATTCACGGCCGCTTTGCTACTCAAATATCTCAACAGAATTTGCAGCACCAAGGTAAATTTTTATAATAAGAAAAAGAAGAAAAAACAAAGAGATGCTAAGTGTATGTTTTTGTTTCGTTGAATCGTAGGCTTGCTATTTTTTCGGCGCTATAATTGGTATAATCGCCGCCGTTGTCATAGAATTTGTCGGAAGTAACTCAACAGTCATATATATCATCGCCATATTAATTGGCGTGGGAAGCTCTATCACGATGGTCACCGCATTGAGCGTCACCGCTGAATTAATCGGCTGTCGAACGGAACGTAGCGCGTTCGTATATTCAATCGTCACTTTCCTTGATAAAATCATCACTGGTCTCGTAGTAATATTCATCGAGAAATTGTGAGTAACCATCGAAATTTTATTTAATCACAGATTGCAGCCCCTCCGTAATACATCAAAAATTGTTATAAACAAATATAACTTACTTTAAGAAAAATTTTTACTTTACAATAAATAAAAAGACAAAGGGCTACGAGCTTAAAACAATCATCATAAATTAACAAATTTGTATTAAATAGTTAAAAAATATAATAAAATAAAACATGTCATGAATTTAAAAACATGAAATTTAATTTGAAATGAAAATGAAAATGAAAATTATACAATTTTTTATTTTGGAGCGAGATTTATAGTTGATATTGCGTCCGAGAGCGAATTTTTAATTAATTTTTATATATTTTATCTATGTAACATTTCCATTGTTATTTTTGCACATTGAAAATGATCGACAACAAGGATCGAAATGTTTGTATTGTTGTTTTCAAATTCATGACATGTTTTATTTTCTTTTTTAATTATTTAATACAAATTTGTTAATTTATGATGATTGTTTTAGGCTCGTAGCCTTTGTCTTTTTATTTATTTTAATTTATTGAAACTTTATTACTTTTATAATTTTTACTTTACGATTTTAGATTAATAACGCAAATTTGCCTAATTCATTGTTTCTAAAACTCGTTTTCATTTTTTTTTCAGGAGATGCAATGACAAAATACTTTGTCCTACTTATGATCGAGATATATTGTCCATCGTTTGTGCTTCCTCAATGATACTGGGACTTATAACTTTGCTATCTGTATCGCGTTCTCTTACTTAAGATATTAATATTTTTTGTATTATATGTGTAAGGGCCATGGTTGAAAAAGTTATTTTTTAAAAATAAAGCTTTATTGGTATTTGTGATAAAAAGTAACTCGTTACTGTTGCTCATTACTACTGAGTCTAAAAATCGTTACCTTTTTCGTTACTTTTTTTATAATTATGCAAGAGATGGACCTACTCACCGATTTTAATAAAATTAGGATTATTCGACGTATTTTTGCATGAACGAATCTGGCAGAAAAATAAGTGTATCCGGCAAACTGAGATATTAATGATTAAAGTTGATGATTAATGAGACAAAGAAATCTATCAGATTCATTTATTTTGTGCAAAAATGTGTTAAATATATAATATGATACTCTAATTTCATCAAAATCGATGAATAAGCCTTTCTTTTGCATAATTATGCTTTTTTTAAAACAGACTTCTAAAACAGAACTGCTACGATAGTATATACAATAAATATTAGGTGTTGGAATTAATTCGTAGCGTTTTTAATGAAAGAATGTTATTTATTTCACATGAGCATTAAAAAATACATTAATGAAAGTACTTCCCATCACTTGTAAAACGCTACGAATTAATTCCAACACCTAATATAAGATAAATATAAAATAAATATATTTAGAAAAATATTTATATCTTTGAGTATTTTTTATTTTTCATTAATATTTTATATACTTATGTTTAATACTTTAATATTTTACATACTTATGTATAATTTTATGGTATTTTATTCTATGGTATTTTATTATATAAATATTTTAGTGTTCTTATGTTAAAGTGAGGATAGTGAATGAAACAAAAATAAGCAAAAATTTTTTTGCTTTATTAACTTATAATCTTTATTATTCGTGACGATCGTGGTCTATAAAAAAGTAACGACACAAATATAACGAGGTCAATTTCGTTACTCGCTATTAAAGAAAATATAACGTCATTAGCTTTTTGTTACTAATAAAAAAACTTGTTTGTTACTAATAGAAAAAAATTGATATCAAAGTGTTATCAAAAAAAGTAACGAAAAAGTATAACGTCATTACAAGTAACGCATTACTTTCCAATCCTGATAAACCATATAATGTATTTTCTCAACATTACTAGTAGTCGATAAAAAAATGTTTTATATTGCATTTCGTATTATTTCTGCATCATTTTGTACATTAAATTGTAAATTTATCATACCAATTACATTAACTTTTCGAAATTGATAAGGAAGTTAGCACGTCATTCTTACGAAGAAAGTAATAACAGTAGCACTTTTTACAGTTCCTTATAAAAATGAAAAAGAGTTTTGTATTTTAATTTGTTTTACATCAAAATTAGCACGCCATTTTTAATTTTGATTTTTTTATTATAAAAAATGCGGAATCTTTTTTATTTTTATAAAAAATTGTAAAACTATGAAAAGTACTATTGGAATTGTCGTTATTTTTTATATTAATAGAATGTCATGGTAATTTTACAGATCCAATAGACAAATTAACTAAACCGTGATTTAATTATAAATCTCTTTATCAAACTGTAAAAAAAATGAAATAATTAAATTTTCTTTATATTATTTCGATAAATTTAGATTATTTCTATTAAAAAAATAATAAATATTAATTCTTTTTTTTAAAGAAGTTATGTCACTTTGATTCCTTCCAAAATCAATTAGTGCCGTTTAATTAACATGAATTAAATGAATATTACTTAGCATTAATAATTATGTTATAAATTTTGATGTTAACTCCGAAAAGTTAATTATAGCGAATTCACTCATCGATTATAAAACGTAGGTATTTCCATTTTTTTAATTTCTTTTTTTATATTAAACTTCACAATTTGCTTTGGCAACTGCGTACACAGTAGACTTGGGTTACCTGCTAAAGAAAGCATTGAAGTGTGGAAAAACAATTATGCATTGTCTACCAACACATAAATGGTCTGGACAGTATATAACATCCATGACGTCCACAGTCTGATTTTATCTTTTCAAAAGGAAAAAAGATAATAAGGAAAGAAAGACCTGAAGTTTATTATTGAGTTCCTCATGATCCAGTAGCTATCTGTGGAAGATTGAAGATTATTGAATGGATCTATTGATGGATCTAATGGATTATTGAATACGTACATTCCAGAAAAGATTACATATCAAGGTTTCGAAAATATTCAAAAAATATATTTTATTTATATTAAGAGTTATTTCTAAAAGATATCTATGTAAAAGCTATTAATTATATCTAAACGATATGACAAGATTTTTTCTAAAAGTCATAAAGATACGTTTTTATCTGTCTGGGAATAGTCTTGTGCGGGAGATATTTCTATTCTAATCTCTTTTATAGAAAAATGAATGATAACAATCTATTTTTCAAATTTATAGTATCTTATAAGTGATAGATAAGATACTCTTAAAATTTATCTATATATAGATACAATTACATGTACGAAAATTTATCTATTCTAAATACAGATATAGATACACAATATTAAGATGTATACAGGTACAGATATCAAATACTTTGAATGTATCTTCAGATATATTTCAAATACTCTTAAATTAATTTTATAATAACGTAATTTTGTAATAACGTGTAAAAAACGTATTAGTTATTAAATATCATGAATCATTCATTTATTTATTTTTGTTACATTTATTTCTCTCTCTCTCTCTCTCTCTCTCTCTCTCTCTCTCTCTCTCTCTCTTCAGTCTTGCCGAGCATGGTGACTTTCATGTGCCTGTGGTGCGCACGCTGATTGTGTCATATGGGACCTACTGATTAACGTTCGATTCCGAACGACGATTTTTGTTAGAGAAGTTCTCTTGGCAAAGATACTCTCGGTGGTTTGCTATTGTCTGCTAAGAAGAGCTAGAAGCGTTTGAAAAATTTTTCGGTTCCTTTCGCTTAGGGATTTTTGCAGTCTCGTGCGCTGTTGCTACGTCACGCTCGCACTCTTTACATTTATATAGATAATTGAAAAAATTTATAATTATCATAAAACAATTTAGGATAAGAATTATAAGACGATAGTATTCATCATAGTTTTCAAATTAAAAATGCTTCGAGCATTGTGTTTTCAGCTTAACTATACATGCGTTAGAAATCTAAAATCACTGGCTGCATTCAGCAGAAAAAGCAGCTGTGTAATTGTAAAATTCTTTAATATGACTGATTTTTGTATTTAGATCCTGTGAAGAACTAAGAAAAGAAAGACTAATCATGTTGCAGAATTTTTCAACGGCAAAGCTGCTTTTTTTTCTGCGGAATGGAATCAATCGACAATGGCCTAGTTTCCATTGAGGGTTTAAACCGGATCAGAATGTAAGAACCAACCAACTGCGGTCGAGTATTTCCCTGTTACAGTCGAACGACAGGGGAATGCTCGACTGTAGTTGGTTAATTCTTACATTCTGATCCGGTTTAAACCCTCGGTGGAACCTGGACCAATCACGCATAAAATCAAATTATGAAGAAATTCTAATGCTGAAGAAACGTATTTGAAAAATGCATCTGAAAATCAGTTCAGATGCTGTATTTTTTTTTATCTAGATACAAACACAATACTCGAATTTGAATCTATCTCAGATACATATTAGATATATAAAATGTATATCTAGATAACCCAACATTGCTTATAAATAACGTAAGACAGTATTATCTATATTCAAAGCGACTTGGACCAAATTTCAAACAACTTAATCGATGATTGATCAATAGAAACCATAACAAAATTTCTATATAAACGAAAAATTAATATTTCGTTTACTTTAACGAAATAACATAAACACCGCTTATATTAAGTTAATATGAAATAATAATCCAAGATTTTTCATAATAGGCAGTAGACACACGTTTCACTGTCACAAGGGTGTTTATCATTCGCGCAGGATTTATCATCCGTGCCGGTTTATCATCCGCGCAGGTGTTACTCCGAAGTTTTAATTCAGATGTCATGACGTTGACGGTTTGTGGTAAACGGCCGTTATAACCGTCCCGACGGAAGGTGGATCGGTGGACAGCCGGATAGCGTCGTTCGGAGCTCGGAACTCGAACTGCTCGGAGCAGCAGTGGTGGCGCGCGAGAGTACGATGACCCGTCTGTTCGCATGTTACGAGCGCTGGCTCGTCGCGGTTGCGTCGTAGTACGTCAAGGCAGATATTCCCTTTATCGCGCGTAGAAAGCGCACTCGGGAGTCGGGAGTCGGGAAGAAGAAGGGAGAGCGTAGACGGGCGGCGGGCGAGCAGCGACGAGCCGAGCCATTGCGCAGCCGCTTATTTTGTTCGGTGGACGAGAGGCGGGCGGTGACGGACGCACGTTTAGCGGGGCATGGCGCGGTGCGCGTTCTAGTAAACAAGTTGTGTGCGAGTCGCGCGGGGAATCTTGCGCCCTGACCGAGCAGCCGCCGCGCGATATTTATTTAACGACGCGACGCGTCGCGTCGTCCCTCGACCTCTTTCAAAGATCTCGCCGTTCTGTCTACGGGAACGCTGGGAAACGCTGGGGAACGCTGAGGAACGCTCAACGCTCAACGCTCAACGCGGCCGAGGGATAAACAAAACTCGGACAGCCGCGAGAGCCGATTCGTCTCTCTCTCTCTCTCTCTCTCTCTCTCTCTCTCTCTCTCTCTCTCTCTCTCTCTCTCTCTCGCTTTCGCGAGTTATACGTTCGCGGGTGTGAATGGTGTTGGTGTACGCGAAGAAAAGTTACCGCCACTGTGTTCGCCACCGGTCCTGGACTCCTGGGATCTCTAACGGAGGAGGCGATCTGGTGATCTTCGATCGTGCTTCGACGGAAGGAGCCATCGGCGAGTCGCCGTCGTCGCCGAGTTATGACACCTCGCTACGCGTTTTGGGGCTTCCGACTGGACGCCGTGCCTCGGTGAGTCCTCTCCTCCTTTCGATTCTCTCCTTCGCGTCGTTTTCGCTTTTTCGCCGCACGCGCGCGAACCACCATGCAGCTCGAGTCTCGCTTTTCCGTGACGTATTCGCGGTGTAATTCGACTACTATCAAATACATGGAATACCGTTGCAAGCGTGCAGTCTCTTCGAATTAATACCCGTCTCATGAAACGTCCGATGGACTTGTTTTTCTCCGGTTTTCGGCTTTCATCGAAACGTTTTTTCCTGTCCCTCCGTTTATCTACCTATTTATCTACCTGTTCCGAATCGCATTCCTTTCCTCGCTCCGTCCTCAATAGAGAAGGAACTCGATCGGTGGCAGCGGGGGGTAAGGAAAGAGTCATGGGAGGGGAGGGGAGGGGGGCGGAGAGAGGAGGGCGGAGAGGAGAAGGGGGAGAAGTGCGCGCGAATAACACGCGAAATTTTTTTTCGGAGCAACGCGTCGCCCTTGGGCGTTGTTCCTCACGTCGTAGGTAATCGTAAGCTCGACGATGCGAAAGAGTCCTTTTCCACGAAGCACGCATGCTTTTCATCGTGCTCGGCACGGCGTGGCCGCGACGGCGCGGCGGCATACGAGTATCCATGGCCCACGCCAGCCCGAC